TTCTCTCACTGTAATCCGAAAATCGGAATTCATTCGGGAAGGGAGAATGATGCTGCTACGTGAGAAGAAAGCAAGCCCTAAGGGTTACTTCGGTCTTTTGACAAACGCTTCGTCATTGCTAATTTCGAATGGAATTTTCGCGATTCTTTTTTTTTTTTGCATTTCCGCTCTTAATTTTCCTCAGAATCATTCTATCGAAGAGAAAGTTTAGGGAAAACTGCTGTCACCTTTTTTCGGGTAGACACCAGTTAAGAAAGAGAGATCAACACTGAATTGCCCTGCTGCTGATGGGTTGGTGGCGAAAGAATTCCCGGAATCTAAGAAACATGACCAAGTTTTCTCGTTGACGCAAAAATTTCCGCTTCCAATTTCAGTCTGCATTCATTGCTGCTTCTGCTGCTGCTGCTGCTGCTACTTCTGCGTTAAAACAAAAGTTAGTGGAAAATAGTTTCTGACAGGGAATTGAGTTTACACCCAACCTAGGGTTCATCAGAGGAGGGGGCCTTCAGGAATCGCTGCAAAACTTGGCAAGTCTCTATCTTTCCTGAAGCGTGTTGGGTGTTTTCCGCTGGTGATTCTTCAATGCTGTTTTAATTGATTAATTACGTTATCGTTTGCAATTACAAAGTTTAATTTTCCACGGAACTAATTTCAAACTTCTCTCGCCTCTCCCACCGGAAGGGCTTTCGCTTTTGAATGGGTCTAATCACCTACTGGCTGTACGGGGTATCATAGGGATGAATACATTGTTCCCGAAGTCAGAATGGTGATGAACGGATGACAAAGTTTTGCGACAGGCTGGCTTATGTTTCAATTTGGGTGACGAAATGCGAAACAATGCCGACGCGAGGACTATCATTAGCCTGTATGGGGGAAACACTGGTTGATGTGGAACCGAAGGATCTGTTAGTCATTAGCAGAAATTGAAAAATTCAAAACAAATAACAATACTAGCGCAATGAGTGTATGCACAAAGTCGGTTAAATCTCACGGCGAAATCGACTTACGTACATTTCACCGTTTGGGTTTACGGTAGAGAGCGGATGTGTCACTCTTTCCCATTACTGTGGTGAGTAGAAGTTCAAAAGTTGGAGCTACGTACGTATGTACACATAACGCCATCCGAGTGACGAAGACAACGAAGTTCTGTTCTGATTCGGTTCGTTTGTACCGGTGTACCTACCAACAAAAACGCGGCGATTGGGATTTATATTTAGAGAGACGCGCACATCCATCACACATCGCAAACGGTTAGCGTATGGAGCAACAAATATAAAAACTTTCGAAAGGTGTTCTTCGAGTTGGAATAGTGTTCATTGTTGCATTGCATTTTTTTTATATTGCTCAAAGTATTAACGGATCGATTTATATTGTACTTGTTGAATGCCCCCGGCGTTGCTCGGGAAAATGTGATGCATTAATATGCTTTTCACTATTGACTTATCACTCACTAACTTCTCACCCACTTCTCAAATCCTGGCGTAGGGTAAGATGAGGCAAGATGAGCTAAAGGAGGCTCCCTCTAAGGTTCCTTAATCTTAATAAATGTTTCCAAAGGATTACCATACCATGGAATTTCTAGAGGCCATAAATGGAACACACCATAATATGAACGTATAGACATAACTGGTGCATCTACCCCATTTGCATCTATATTAAGCATAATGCCGAATGCAATTGAATCAAATAGGACACTAGGTTAAATGGATCATGTCTACGACAGCATCTATTTTGATAATTAATAACTCTACAAGATTTCTTTGCCAGCTCATTCTTTCTCGCATTTAAAGCTTATTGCTTATCGCATAGTAACTTATTGCGTGCTCTCAACTTAGTGTTCTAAGGCTTGTACTCGAAAAAAAATGCACCATTTTTATCCGTGTGTAACTTTTTTATCCGTGGGTAAAAATTGATGAAAATCTGGGTATAACTAGTTGGGAGTAAATTGTTTACATGTGCATAAAAATCGGTTCAATGGTTATTGAGATGTCATCGAAACAAGAAGAAAATCGCCGGAGAATTTTGCGCGCCGTCATGGAAAATCCGACTGCGACCATGAGATGGATCGGAAGACAACTGGGAATCACCCATACAACTGTGTCTCGGGTGGTGAAATCGTTTAAGGAGTCCCAGACGACCGAGCGGCGGGCTGGAAGTGGAAGAAAATCGAAGACAGCTGACCCTGTGAAGGCCCGGAAGGTGTTGGATTATTTCAAGCGTAATCCGAACCTTTCGATTCGCGACGCGGCTCTGAAGGCAAAGTGTTCCGCCTGGTTCGTTCAGCAAACCATGAAACGAGCTGAGCTTCGTGTATTCAAGGTCCGGAAGGCACCGAACCGGCGTGATCAACAAAACACGGCGGCCAAATCCCGCGCAAGGAAGCTGTATCGAGAGTGGTTAACGAAACAGATGTGTGTGGTTATGGATGACGAAACCTACATCAAGGCAGACGCAAAGCAGATACCGGGGCTGGAGTTCTACGTTGCCAAATCACGGTTTGATGTTCCGGAAGACATAAGGAAGAAGAAAGTGGACAAATTCGCCAAAAAATACTTGATCTGGCATGCCGTATGCCAATGCGATAAACTGAGTAAACCGTACATCACAATGGGTAAATTTACCGCACTGAGTGCCTCCAGAAGCGTTTGTTGCCCTTCCTGCGGTCCCACGGAGGCGAGACATTATTTTGACCGGACCTGGCATCATGCCATTACGCGCGATCGATGTTGGATTGGTACAGAGACAATAACGTTGTTTTTGTACCAAAAATCGCCAACCCCCCAAATTCACCAGAGATTCGTCCGGTGGAAAGATTTTAGGCCATAAGGGGCTGTTCATAAACTACGTAGACCGTTTAGGAGGGGGGGGGTTGACAATTATCCACGGCCCATACAAATTTTAATTTTTTTGTATGGACAATTGTCTACGCAGGGGGGGGGGGGTCAAGAATCCCAAAAAACTGTCTACGTAGTTTATGAACAGGCCCTAATGAAGGCCAAAGTTCGAAAATCGTCCAAGGTGTTTAAGAACGAGCTGGAGGTGAAGAAAGAATGGATGAAAGTGACCAAAAAGGTCGACTCCACCATTGCACAAAATGTAATGAGAGGTCTTAAGGGAAAGGTGCGGGCTTTCAGCGATGGAAAGGAAATTTAATAAAGTAATTATGATGAAACATAATCCATATGTATTAGTTCATTCCCTGAAAGTTTCAAGAAAATCCGACTTAAAATAAATTTTTGGCGAACACTTTTGTCTGGTGCATTTTTTTTTTCGAGTACAGGCCTTAGATGCATTTCACGTTATTAATTGAGAGCTTTCGATGCCTGTACGATTTTTGCATTAGTACAGTGGCGTAACCTCACTTTCTACCTGTGCACCAACTTTCAAAACCAGATTTAATGCCATATTCATACTCGAATCGGTTGAAAAATACCGGTATTATCCTCGGGTTAAATCTCGCACAAGAATATTCGGCTGCATTGATGTCGACATCAGAGTTAATCAACATGACTCTAAACCAAAATTTTGCAGATCTTTCAAACAGGAACGGTATTAAAGGTTAATCCGAGTTGAAGCTTACCGCCATTAATCTTTCAGTTTACTCGATATCTATCCATTACAAGTAATATTTTGATAGGGTAGAGAACTACTTCGGCCTAATCGCCCATTTTGGGCCCATCAAGCAGAAAACTTCAAATAAATCCATGATTTCAGAGTTAACAAGTCCATTATGCGTTTGGTACGATACTTTAGTTAATCAGCTACGGAGCGAAGTCAATGAGAACACGTGATATGAAGGTTTGCACCCATTATTCCAAAAAAAAACAAAGAACACATAAAAACAACATTTAAATTTTTCTTAGTGATACTTATACTTTTTGATGGGATTTTTAATCAAATCACACTCGAATTCCTTATTACATAAAATTACCATGGAAAAAGGAGGGCTTTGGCAATACCTACCTTATACCGTCAGAGGGTGAATGAATTCATAGTGTGCTCAATTTAGGTAAAAACGATACTTTGAAACATGGTGTATCCTCATACAATAAATTACCTCAAGGACTTCATAATAATAGGGTAAAGATATTGCCAAAGCCGTCATTTAGATTATCTTCATAGGTGTCCATGCATTACGTAGTTAAATGTGAAGAATTAAACAAAAACATATTTCATTTATAGCTATCGAATGAAACCAGCAATAAAGTGGCCATGAATTATTATCACCAGCATTATTTTTTGCAGCCTAAACCTTTCGTTAGCACTAAGTAAAGAACCCGAATGCTGATCAGGGTTTATGCATGACTTAAGACTTCTTATCATCCCATTCATTCTTCCGACATTCCTACGTCTCTCCGACAACGCACATGCCGATTTCATTAAGGCAAAAAATAGCAACTCCTCTTCGGTCGTCTTCTTTTTGTCTGTCCGGTTTCAGTTCCTTCTACACACACGTCCCATTCCGACCTCGGTCCTGGTTGTTGTTGCCACCAACACAGGTGCATACCGTCTTCTTCATCTGCCTGTCGACGATGATGTCGTCAATGTGACTCAAAACATTTTTCTGCCCGCTCCCCTAAAGACCAGCTATAGTAAGGGAACAGGAGAATGGCGTGTATATTTACTGTTGTTGATGAGAATTTCGGAAATTCAGCTTGAAACTGCCGTACAAAAATTGCACAGAGTGAGTCTTTTTGTGTTACCTGGCTCGTCCTCTGTGCAAAACAAGACGATTGCGTTTCGGTTGTTGTCGTCCAACCGGACGATCGTCTTGTATAATATTGGGACAGCGATTTTGAAGGCATGGTTGTTGGGAAATCGATTCAATTATCATTATCCGCGCCGACTTGTCGTATTTAGTAATAGATCGAGGACGCTAATTGATGTCAATTAGAGGCTTGTGTAAATCGTTTGTTAGAAGAGCGTTCAATTACGATAGTTGATTGTGTTACATTAACATAAGAATGTTTACTAGATTACATCTCGATTCTCGAACCTACCTTCACACTTGCTTTTGTCACTGGCGGAGTGATCCATCTTTGCTGTCGAGTCCCTATTCTCGATGGAATGCAATGGCAATCCCGCTTTGGTCGAGGAAATTGTTTCAGTTTTAACAACCACCTCTGTCGCCTTCTGTTCAATTGACCAACTCTTATGGTCCACTCGGTCAGCAGATCCGTTGCAAGTGTCCAACTGTCTACGGTGGTGACTTTCGACGGGCAGCTTCTTGTCACCGTTCACTGATTCTTTCATAATATGATATTGCTGCTTCCAAAAATCACGAAATTATTGACCATAATATTCTTATCAAAATACGGCGATTATTACACATTCCTCAAGGATTCCACGAAGAAAAAAACTTAGCATCGAGCGACGGATCTTACGATCCCGGTAACACTAACACACTTACAAGCCCTCCTGTAAACACACACGAGGAAAAAGGACCATCCCGTACTTAAAATCGAGGTTAGGACCCTCTGCCCTTCTTTTCCGTTTTCCGATTCTCTTCCCGAAGACCTTCCGCGCACCGCACACACAATCCCAGGCAGGCAAATCTTCCTTCAGCACTGAGAGCTTCTCAAAGGCTACAACTGCCGCAGCAGGTAACGAACTTTTTCCGTCATTGCGCTACGTCAAAATAATCACTTATTCCAGGTAGAATCTTTTATTTCAACACGCGATTACGTTATCGCCAGTCACTGCAACCGTTATCCAATAGAAACACATAAAAATTAAACATATTTAAACGCACAAAACTCGCGAACCGCAGCTACAACTAGCCATATTCGTTTGGATTAACTACTTTTTTGTGGCTGCGCGATCGATCCTACTCCGACGACTTTGCGACCGAACGTTACAAATCGAATGAATGAGCCAGCTGCACGCGGCAGTCAGAAGAGGAAGTCTTCCGTGGGACAGAGTGAGCGCGCAACGTGCGAAAGAAAAGGAAGGCACATGAAAATTTGAAAATCCGTCAAAACAGCGTTTGGACGTGTGCGTGAAACATCGCTTGCTTACGCCAAAAACTCGAGGTAAACAAAATCAGCGGGCGCATTTTGCGCGACAGTTTCGCATTTACACGACGAGTGCGTTCAATGTCGATCAAAGCTTTCGTTTATAAACGGGGTGTGTTAGCATCTGTAAGGACGGTTCAAATATTACGTATTGGCGTTGACGAGTGTGTTAAAATTGTTTGTGGTAAATGAGAGACACCGTTGGAGCCGGCTCAAAGACAGTCGTCGTCGCCAATAGTGCAAGAGTCAATGTAATGTAAGCAGGTGTACAATGGGAATTTGTCGTATCTGTTCATGGTTGACGGAGTGTGACGTCAAACTCCATCATCAATTTAAACAGATGGAGAGTGAACGAAATAGACGATCTTCAAGAGCAAATTTTCATTATGTCGTAAGTATCTGAGAAAAATAAAATTTTGTTTTGATGACCGAAAAGTTATTCCTATTTCCAATTAAACACATATAATCTCATAGTGATAGCAATGTTTAACATATTTAGCAGGGTTTTAATCATAAAAATGCAAATCGCTAGCTTTCATGCTAAAAATACTGGTTTTTGAGTCAAAAGTTATTATACGTCGTTTGGTGGCCCCTATTGTTACTTAAGTCGAAGTTTATTTACCAGGATATTCGGGAGAATTATCAATTACGTCTCCTTACGTGCAGCCCATTCATCATTTTAGGACCACCGAAATCATCTTATACCCCGGACAGACTATGGCTTATATCATGTAATATAGGCTTGCTTGCAATGAGCACTCATACATCTAGTTTTCACTGGAATTCCTATATATGAGTGCTCATTGCAAGCCAGCCTATATTACATGATATAAGCCATAGTCTGTCCGGGGTATTAGCAACAAACAGTTCGAGTTATTCATTTTAATAATGAGAAAGCGGAACGATGAACGTACACTTTTCACGGGTTTCTCAGCGCTATGACTTAAGACAAACGGCATCTCCATAGAAATCGGGTGACATCGAAAACTATTTTGATCGAAGGGTGATTACGTCAAAAAGCGATTTGACTGGTAAATAAATTTAAAAATGGGATGTGATCCTATATTCGGACAGTATATAGTGTAATAGCAGGAGCATCGATTTACACTGATAGCTCGACTTTGTTTACCTTTGTTACTTTCGATGTAATGAAAATTTGCTCTTGATGTATTCAAATTGCCTCACTTGTTAACATATGACAACACGGGAAACGAAAACCAATAATTTATGATTCATATTTAATAATTTTCAGAAAAATATTGGTTACTTGGGCATCGTATACATTTTTGGGTCGTTCTCATTCGCCGTGTTAGTATTCAGTACGGAAAACAAGATCGTGGAAAACAAAAATCAAGGAAAAAACCAATACCGACCAATCCCACGATTTTTTTCTGAAAATGATTATATAGCGGAAATGGATGTATTGTATAGCGGAAATGATGTAATGCCCCTAATTTGAGCCCATACATAGATTCAAAAACCGACTAAATTTTCAATAGCGACCAAAAATATACATTAGTATCGTTCCAATAACGCGTTCATCTAGATAGAATACGCCTAACTTTTCAAAAGGTCCTATCGAACATTTCACTCTTTTCGAGAAAAACGAGGTTGAAGATTGACAAAATCTTTTTTGATACTATTTTAAACCAAATCAACTTTTGACATTTTAAGACCTTTAATAGTAAAATGCGATAGTAAAATTGAAACTGAAATTATAATCTACCCGTTTCATACATTTTTTTTTTCTATGAAAACGTGAAAAATGTTACATAGGACATTTTGCTCTTGTCAGGTGTACATTGGACATGTTATATAGGACGTTTTGTTATAATCACAGTTACATAGGTCATTTATGTTTTCAACATTATTTGTTTGTTTTTAAGCATTATGAGTGCATAATTTAAGTTATACGAGTTAAACGAACAATATGATTATTGGACAATGAATCAACTTTTTTTTTAACGGTATATCGCAACACTGCCCACAGATTGTTTTGGTCGATCGTTGGTGGTCGCGTGAGCTGCTTTTTATTTGATAACAGTGATATTTTAGGGGCTGTTCACTACGTAGACAGCTTTTCGGTATGCTTGACCCCCCCCCCCCCCCCTCCCCATGCGTAGACAATTGTCCATATATTTTTTTTTTAAATTTGTATGGGCCGTGGATAATTGTCAAAACGCGGAAATAGTAGAAAAATGCTTGACATGAAAATTCCGATATGCACAATGACATTGTTTTGGTTTGTTTGAACATTTTAGACGTTTTACTCGTATAAACACAAAGGACCGAAGTACAGATCTGCACTGTTTTGGTTTTTCTGATACTTCAGACGTTTGTCTTGATGAACATAGTCAAACGATTTTGGAGGCGAACCAGCCCAAGGATGAAAGCCTCCCTAATAAAGATAAATAATAATAATAATAATAATAATAACATAGTCAAACGTCTTATGTAATAGTGAAACATCGTTAATGCAAATTTTGACTTCAGACGTTTTGTTAATTTAGAATTTTCTCAATTCAATTGACATTAATCTGAATGTGTGTGTGTGCATAATGTTCTTAGGTACAAATGTTGCAATGTGCATTTATAAACTCGATTTGTTTACATTTGTTACTTAGGACCTTTTGAAAAGTTAGGCGAGAATTGATATAATAGCAGATTTTTAGCGATGGGCCCAATCTTAGATCCATAGGCCAACATTAGAGCCATTTCCTCTTTGATTCATTAATGATTTATTTTTGTTTTTCGTGTAGTCAAACGTGTCGAAGATTGTCTTGAATAACAAGTATGAGGAAAATCGACGAAAATTTTACTCAGTCTAGCAGGAAATAGACTGAGTGAATCCTTTCTCAATTTTCTTCATATTCGAGAAATTTTTCTTGAAAAATCGAGGATAATTAACACACGGCAAATACATCTATTCATATTTTTTTTTCCTTTGGTTTGTTTTTTCCGTCGATCTTGTTTTCCGTGCTGAGCACCAATGCTACCGACGTGCCAGGAAGGCAGCTCCCACACCTGGACCCTACCTATTGACCCATCAACTCATGAACCGGGGACCAACGGCTTTACTTCCCATCCGAAGGAAGGCGTGATCAGAGATGTTATGCCTCAGAACATCCCGGCGGCGCCGACTGGGATTGAACCCAGGCCTGCTGGGGTGAGAGGTAATCACGCTTACCACTACACCACCGGAGCCGTTCGATGAGCATAATGTTTTTCATGTTTTTCCGGGTTTGTTTACACGGCGAATGAGAACGACCCAAATTTGAGTTTAGTTCACTCATAATAACCAAAAGTGCAGGAACTCAGCGATGAGTAAAATTGGTCTCATGGTTTCCTGTGGAAAACCTAAAAAAATTGTGTCGTTCTCATTTGCCGTGCAGGAACAAATTAGATAATAGGTCGTATGAATAAAAGCGTTTACTTTACTTTTCCCGTAAAGGCCCACTCACATTAGATCCATCTGCGTTGCGTTGACGTAAATTTGACAGTTAGACAATAGATTTAGCTGTCACTTTGCCGCAACGCGTCCGATCCGGATCTAATGTGCGTGGGCCTTAAGAAAAGCACGGGAAAGTAAAGTCAACTCTTTTTATTCATACGGCTCAATATGAGAAAAGTAAAGATTGGATTCACTCAGTCAATTGGTACTACTCCTATACTGAATAAAATTTTCATCAATTTTCCTCATTTTCCGGCAAAAAAAAACATAAGGCAAATTTACTCATCCCTGAGATCCGGAACTTTTGGCGTTTATGAGTAAACTAAACTAAAATTTGGGTGAAAACGACCGTGTACACGAATTTGAGATAACGTGACTCAAATATGCGGAAGTTCATTTACCGTGAAATTCAAGAAGTATTTCCTGGAAAAGCTCGGAAAGTTCAGCTCGCTTTTGAGTAAATCCACTTTTGCCCAATGGAGTCGACTCGACTCAATTTGGGTGATTTGACCGACCGTGTACTCTTCAGAGCTTTTATTTTCAAAAGCTTTGCTTTTCGCGAAAAACGCCCTACCGCTGAGAGTACTCAGTGAGAATCCGTTTTACTCTGGGAGAAATCCTGCGTCATTTTTCGTTAGGTCCTATCCCATCTACCTACATTGATCTATTATCTTCAACGACTTGCTCTTTAGTAAATAACTCAGATGCTGTGTTTGCCTCCTTGATCAAACTTTATGTGGTTAAAATAGCGAAAGAAAATCGATCAAAGCAGATAGGACCTTTCGAAGGAATCATCTCGATTTCGTGCTATTTTCGCTACAATTTCAAGCAAACATTGGGTTAGGTCGCAGACATCATATCAAGAAGACTGGCAACTTTGCCATTGTTGCCTTTGGTTAGGTCCTAAGTAATGTTTTGGCTTATCAGTCTTGATTGAAAAGCGCTTGAAAAACACTCAAACTGATTAGCATCGAGATGAAGATCCCAACCACTGGATCGAAACGTCGGCGATGAAAACACAGTAATCAGCGATTTTCAATCAAGAATTCAAGACCAACAATTGAAAAGGCCTCAAATCCATTTGTAAACAAACCTTGTAAGGCCATTTTCTAGCAAATCGAAACCTACATTCGCAAACCTAAAACACAATCGGGTAGAGAAGAATTTCCCCTGCCTGTTCATTTTATTGGTTTTAGTCGGCGGACTTTGATTCGTGACAAAATGACCTTACAAGGTTTTCATTCCAGTCGAATACCCCGATCCTAAGTAACACTGATGTACAAGAAAATGTATTTTCAAAATTATGGTTAGAGAGAACTTTAAACTTATTAAAATCATGGGAAAAACCTTAGGCCCCTGCAAAATGGGGGTGACTCAAATATGACGTCTACTCTTGAGCAGTGATGGAAAAGTTCATCAAAGTTCCCTATGACTCGCGAACTTTTCCCTTGGTGAACTTCGTGAAATATCGCGAACTTTTCCAAAACTGCTCTTGAGGAAGAGAGGGAGCCCTGGTTTTTTTAACAATACGTGTAAGAAATAAGGCAACATGCGTGACGCAGGAAGGGGTACGGGAGATGGGTAACAATCCCCCTTATTCTGCGAGTCACGTGACTCTCTCTCACCGGTGAGGTGACAATAGTCACCTCGTGTGAGGTGACTCTCCATTTGATTTACATGGAGAGTCACCTCACACGAGGTGACAATTGTCACCTCACCGGTGAGAGAGAGTCACGTGACTCGCAGAATAGGGGGGAATATCAACAAACTTGTGGACGTCATATTTGAATCGTCAAGGAAGCTTGCAAATGATTGACCACGCTGACAAAAAAAAAGATTCTTATTATTTATTACTATTCTTTTCGTTCAATTTCTCGTTGATCTAAATTGCAAATTTCCATTCTGCTAAGAGCCTTAGAAACGTTTCCGCGTTGTAAGATTTTGTCATACAATCGAGTAAAAGTGACTTACTCTTTCACTGAGTTTCTCACAGCGGCGGTGTGGATGGAAACCATGAGAATAAAATACAGAATTGCGACTTTGGGAATTCTTGAAGAAAATCGAAGCCATGAGAAAGGATTAAAAAGTTTAATTTAAATTCGTAAGACTAGATGTCAATAAGTTAGTACAAAAGAAACGTTCGTAGAATAAACCTGAGTGAATCCCCCAATTAAGACTACATCCTGCACAGCCACTTAGTCCATACGTTGATAGTTATTAAACAAACCGCGAGCGCAGTACAGGAACGGTGAGACAGCGGCAAAAAATATTCCACTCCCCAGCATAGGGCGATGAATAATCCACGCAATGGACGTGACCACTAGCGCAAGTGAGAGGGACATGGTCAAATTGGTAGATACGGGAAAACTGGCGTCTGGAACAAACTGCCTTAAGACACGACTCTGAGCCGTGATATACTGCAATATTGTTGCCGAACAAGTAGCCGACAGGAACAGCATAATCCAACCGATTAATCGCCAGCCCCAGGTAGTCAGTCGCTTTGAGTGCTGCACCAATTTGAACGTTTCGTGCAACGATAACTCTCCGGAATAGATGAGTAAAACCTTCCTGGCGTGGGAAGATTCATAAGGGATAATTTTTCCATTCTCCAGTTTGCCGACAACCGTGTACTGCAATAGAAGAATGGGTAAATCGTTGATTGGAGTATATTTTTTTGTATCTTACCATCGACCCTTCTAAACCGGCATATGCAAATTGTATTCTTATGTCACCTATCTCTGGATTCCAAATATCGTTACAGTGGTAATAGAGACCGGAATGCAACTTCACCGATGGATCCTCTGGTCGGGTGTCCGACGTGATATCGATGAATTTCTTAAACCTGTCTTTTAGAGCATCCCCTAATTCATACTGTCCGATGTGGACCCTTTCGGAAACGTAGATTTTGGAATCCATTGGAAAAGCGGTAGGATTATGATGACCAGTTCGGATATAGAAGCTACGTGAATCGACCAAACTATCGCGCCAATCCATGGTGTAGTAGTAGGTCCGCTCTTCCGTCTGGACAGATGCAACGGCTTCACCGTAACGATTCTCCCTAGAAACATATCAAAACGTTGAAAAACTGAACTTTATCATGTCCTTATTAGCATACACATATTCCTCAACCCATTGATACATTTGGACCCGTCGTTTCAGTTTCACCGCCTGCACTTGAATATTGTAGTCCGGTTCAGTGAGTGGTTCCCCGGTGACAATCGGTCCGATCAGGTGGACCAGCCGCCCTTCGTAGGTTTTATCATACGGATGTTCCCCGCTGACTGTGTTTGCATCGTTGAGGGCTTCTTCCAGCGAGAGCGAAGTACTGATGGCACGAGCCTTTAGATTTAATCATTTCGTATATAAGGTATAAAGAATAATCAAGCAAGTTAAAAAGAAACATTTACCTCATTCCAGAAGAGTACAAAGGTTCCGGCAGTCAGCAGGATTGAACCGATCAATGTCATCAGCCAACATGATTTTAACGTATCCGCAAAGTTCATAGTTCTTTCCTGCCTTCTTACACTAATTCGGTGACGTTTGAATTACTTTTCATTCACAAATTATGTCTTCAAGTTTCCTAAAACAATGCAGACATTATGTGCGCCGTCCGGATTATTTTGTTTTGATTTTTTACCATCAGCTGATTAGATAAGGTGACAGCATTTTTGACAACTTGCGATGTTTTAAACTGTTAGCGAGAACACAAACCACATAGACACACTGAAAACGAACCTCTCATGTCGTTTTCGTTTTTGCGGTGTAGCACTGGTGTAGTGTAAGCAGGAATAAGCGCGAGTCTTTGACAGCTCAACATCATTTGTTTGTAAACAAAGGTGCATCCTATATCTACACCCTAAAATATTTCGGTGTACGGCAGTGTAGCACCGGTGTAGCTACACCGCAAAAACGAAAACGACATCAGAAAGTGAGTCACTACTCATTCGTATCGAGAAGTTCTTGAGGGGTACACAGCAAAAAAAACCGAAACAGCTGCATCGATTGTGTGATTTTACATTGCACCAGAGACACAGAGAACAGACGTCCAACTTCGGTCAGAAACTTGTGTAAAGATAAGTGGGAACATCGCCGTTATGTGGTGCTAGCATTACATGATTTCCCTTATAAATTTTCCACTTTCGATCAATTTGACGCTAGTATCGATAAATTTTCTGTTGAAAATTACCACTTGGCGTTTCCAGCATTTAGTGGCTAGTGTAAGTTTTGCAACGCCAGCGCCATCAGGTTGTCAAAGAGGATTTTTAAGTGGGGAAGCCGCCGTTAGTGGCGCTTAAGTCGAATAGGAATCTTTACACAAGTTTTGAGAGAAATTTTGTTCGAGCATCAACGTCTGTTCTCTGTGCCAGAGACGTTGAATTAAGACACGCATAGACTGAAGCAAGAAGAACCAAACGAACCGTCAAACGCTGAACCAAACGAGCAAAGTATATAAACATTACTATTCGCTCAATTCACCAGAAGAACAGCAGATTTACATGCAGTTCAAATGGAACGGTTGCCGAAGAAAAACTGGTTGCCGACAATACTCGCTCTCACTAGAGAAGATTGGAGCTTTGTAAAAGCGTTTCAAAACAGTTTTTGACAATTCTTTCGACTGAAATTGTTAGAGCAGCTGACAGCAAAAGATTGTACAAACCAATACTGCATATGTGTGCGTTCCATAGAGAAAAAGGCTATAGAACGAAGGTCGCTGCTTAGGTTGCCGAGAATACGTAAATTCCCCTATTTACTGTTGATTCAATTAAATCGAAGGCTACAAATCAAGAAGACTGGCAACTCTTCCATTTTCTCATACGACCGCTATGAAACAGGTACAATCGCGTCATCTGCCGCTCAAAGGTAAATGCTTCGAACGAAAATGGTTTGTGCATTTGCTCATTTTTCTATGCGTTGCTTCCACCTTCACTCAAGCGCAGCGCTATTGTATCTGTCGCTTGAATTCTGGCAAAGTTGCCAGTCTTCTTGATATGATGTCTTCGATTAAATACAACATTCATTAGTGATAAAAAAAACAATTTCGAATCTGAGCGTTTGATTTAGTTTTATGGTAATAAAAATTATTGCGCTGCAAGCAAAACAGTAACACAAACGAAGTAACAGACGACTAGCTGGCGAAGAAATCCATTAAAATAATGTGGCGACAGTGTGCAAAGAGTGTATCATTTTGTCATTTTTTTATGCATTTCAGTTTTGAGTAGAGTGAAAGAGATAGAACCAAAACATTCTAATACATTTGGTGAAAATGCTAGTACAATTCAGTAGTAGTGTTACCACAGACAAACAGACATAACTCTTGCAAGTTGTTCATCGAACATGCTTTTAACGGTCAATTTAAAAGTATCGTAGTTGGTAGTACCGCCACCTGTAGCGCGCATAGTCAATTCCCTTGCATTTGACGTTTACACACTACCGCCATCTGTTCAGCGTACTACCCACCACAGTGTACTCAACAGATGGCGGTAATGTTTTAGCGACGATGTTTTACAGTGAGAAATGTTCAATGTGTTATGTCTGTTTGTCTGTGGTGTTACCATGTGGTACAATCCAGTAGTAGTGGTGTTGCCATGTGGTACACTGAAAAATTGAAATAGCAGGTTAGTCACCAAAGTTTTCGAGCCGCTCCGTCTGTCATTTCGTTTGTGACAGTAATATGACAAAAGTTACACTGTCATGGAGCGACTGTCGTACTTATTTGATCGAACTTTGTACGGCTCATGGATTCGCAGCCTAAAGGTAACGAAACGCTCAATAATTTTTCTCCCGTTATCGTGACAGTCTTCAAAAAATATTTGTGCTGAGTGTTTTCATAAGATCATCCAATTTGATAGCAACGTTATACGCCTTTTTAATAAAAAAAAAAAACTAAGCGATCGTTTCAACCTCTGGCGGTGAATATGAGAACGTCACAAAAAGAGTGTTGTTAGCAGAAAATTTTGCCGTGAGACATTAGGTCGTATGAATAAAAGCGTTTACTTTACTTTTCCCGTAAGAAAAGCAAGGGAAAGTAAAGTCAACTCTTTTTATTCATACGGCCCATTAGGTCGTATGAATAAAAGCGTTTACTTTACTTTTCCCGTAAGAAAAGCACGAGAAAGTAAAGTCAACTCTTTTTATTCATACGGCCCATTGGAAGCGGAACACTTTTTCACTATTCCTGGTAAAGTGATTCATCTGAGATGCTCCAAAACATGATCTCTAGTTGAAAAATTTAATTCTGTATCATTTTTGCAAGGATTCTGCTGGTGTTCAGGAATATTTTTGTTGAGAAAAATGGAAAATTCCAATAGTGCCTTAGTGGTAATGATCTGAATTTTGAAATCATTAGATGTTATAATGATATTTTGTACTTGTTACAAAAGAGGTTGAAAGGCAAGTGTTTGACTCATAAAACCTGACAATTTCGCTTCCAGAGTGTTACAATCAACGATCTTATGATTCGTGAGCGTTCACTCAGAGTGCACTCATGAGCGCTCGAGAGTCGTAAAATCGCTGATTGTGACTATCTGAAAGCAAATTTGACAGGTTTCATGTGTCAAACAATTGCCTTTCAACCTCTTCTTATATCTAACAAGTACAAAATATTATTATAACATCTAATGATTCCAAAATTCAGAAAATCATGTTTTTATAGCAAGTGAGTGGAAGCAACCCTGGTCCCAACTATGAGTAGCCCTAATTGGTGACGGACTTGGACGGATATGAGTAGATCGTACTCAAATTTGGATTGTTTAGAAATAGCGTGACATTTCTAGATAGAGCTGGAGTTAGGGCGTAACAGACTTTGTAAACAAAGACTTCTATCGATGATTTCTAGGAACTCAAGGCACGCCCACGCAAACCAATATAACTGTCGGGTAGGGGACCTTTTCCCCTACCCGATGGTGTTGTTGATTTGCGTTGGCAAGCCTTAACTTTCTATAAATTCATTGTTTACAAAAGCTGTTACGCCCTAATTCCAGCTCTATCTAGATTTACTCTTCAGCTATCAAAATGGTGTCCAAGCAAGAGGAGCAACGCATCAAAATTTTGCCGACGCATCGCGAAAATCCCAACTACTCGCACGAAACCTACGTCAAGGCAGACTTCAAACAGCTTCCTGGCCAGGAAGCTACGGCAACCGGAAGGGGAAAGGTTGCAGACATTTTAAAGCATATGTAACTGTCGAAGATCGCTAAGAAATGTCTGGTTTGGCAGGCTATCTGTACCTGTGGCTTGAAAAGCGATATTTTCATTTCAACCGGGACCGTCAACCAGGAAATTTACGTAAACGAGTATCTGAAAATACGTCTGCTGCCTTTCCTACAGCGAAACGATTGCTCCGTGCTGTTTTGGCCGGATTTGGCATCCTGCAATTACGGAACAAAAAGGTCAAGGAGTGCGATGCCGCCAACAACGTGCAGGTGGTGCCAAGCAGGTGGACAAGAACCCTCCCAACACGCCAGAGCTCCGCCTAATTGAAAAATATTGGGCCATCGTCAACCGGAACCTGAAGAAGACCCAAACAACTGTTGGAAGCTAGAAGGTCCCGAAGGAACGTGCTCAACTTTTTTGGTCAGCTCTGGTACTCTCTTCGGTTCCAAGCTTATCGATGCACCCCTCGAAACATAGGAAAATCCACGAACCCCTCATTTTATCTGTCAAACTTTCATAGCGAATCAAAACAAACATAGTGTAGTACTAGAATTTCGACTAAAATAGGGTACGTTAATCGATTTGCTTGGGACCAATAGGCTAGTCAAGTAGTGTGCCAATTTTAAATCATTAGTTTTCACCGGTTAAACTGTGTTAACGACAATTCCAACACGTCCGCCAAAAAAAGTGTTTCTGTTGTAAGAAAGCTGAAATCCTATTCTTAGTACCTGGTACTGTGGGTAGTTAATTACTCCTGGTCATGCACTTTTGCAAGTTTGATCGATCAAGACATACCTACAGTACTACTACAGCTCGCAATTGCAGTCGAATGAACTATTTTGGGCGATGAAACATAATTGGATTTCATTTGAAAATAAAAACTTAACTCGTTAACTAAAATTATCATCCCCGTCGTCATCATTTTGCATCACGTCGTTTTATAGATCCTCCGAAAAGTGTGACTCCGGTGCAATAATAAAACACAGAAACGTGCTAAAACAGGTTTGGTTGGCATTTTTTGTGGGATGAAGGTAGGCAGTATCTTTTTAGGATTTGCTGAAAATAAAAATGCAGAACCAAAGGAAAGAAACTGTTTCCCTATTGCAGCAGATTTCACCGGTTTCGGTTTTGTCTGCTGTTGCGCTCCGGTATTCTTACTTTTCTCTCTTGTGGATGCTGCGTGTTCCGCCACTTTTATAATTTATTGTCTTCCTGTGCTTATCTCGCCTTTTTCTTCGCGGATTCTTTCACTTTCTCATCGGCTCATTCTCCTTGTTGTTGGATTCTTATTCGAGCTTTTTCGGAAACTTGCATTCCCTAGTTGTATGGGATTCTGGTGGCGAAGAAGCGAACGAGATTCCATAGGATTAAGCGATATAAAAGGAGGATGGGAGAATGAGAGTAAAGTTGGTAGGTATCAGCTAACATGCCGCCGCCTT